AATTAAGTGATCCAGTAGAGAAAGTGTGCAATAAATATGGAAGCACAGATATATTGCAAACCAGCCCTGAAACAATTCCCCTCCTCCCACCCTCCCCTTTGGAAGTAATTAGAAAGTTAAATGAATATAACAAAGTTAAAAGTGACAGAAGTTGTTGATATAGAAGCCTTAAAAGTTTCTTGCCGTTATGTCTTCTTAGACTGTCTAAGCATAGAAATTAGTCTTACAATGGGAGTTACAGAAACATGTACATTACAGGATTTTTTTTTTTTTTTTCCTAAGTGGATTCTGTGTCCCAGTGGGATGTGACTGCTTGTCTTATTGAAAAAAAATTATAACCCACCTCATGGTAGTTCTCAAGATGACTTTTAAAAGCTTATATAGTATTACAAAGTAATTTTCTGAATGGCAGCTATTTAAAAAAGATTAACAAATTGTATTTGATCAGACATTGTAATGGCAATTGTGGATGGATAATGAATACCCACTACTTAATTTGGATTTTCAGGATGCACATTTCCGAGCTTGCAAACTTTGCCTTTTGAATAGAATGGCAGAACTTGTATAAGCTAGACTCTCATGTGACATTTTTGTGGTATGTTTTGAAGGTCCTACTCAATAAATAATGATATTTATTACGTGTCAGACAGAAGAGAAGCCATAAGGTATGAGTCTTACTTTGTATGCAGAGTATCCAATTTACAATATCAAATACTTGTCATAAGTATTTATGATTACTACTCCCTAAAGTATAAAATAATCCTCACATTATTGCCCTCAATTAATAGCAATAGGAACAAAAACCCTAGCTAGAGAAATATGCTAGGAATACTAGGAATATGAGCTTATTTGTCAATAGAATGGACTCCTTCCACTTTCCCTTTCTCATGGTGGTCTGTACTTTTGCCCCACACAGCTCTGTGCCAGCATCAGCTTTGTATGCCTAAATGCCATGACTTAGTTCACTGATTTGATTTCACCAGCAGCAAAGCCAACCTTGGTGCTTACAAAATTGGAAGCGCATCAATGACTTTTCCTAAAACCATAAAAAAAACATTAAAAAAAAAAAAAAAAAAAGATGACAAAATGACAACTACCTGTGACCTTGTGAAATAGGTTATTTCTGAAATATTATACCTGGTTTTAAACTTTTACAGAATACATAATGGAAAGAAACAGGAACAGTTTATCTGCTTGCTGGAAGCTGGCAAAAGTACCAGATGTAATTTATTACTTAAAATTATTATGTATCTGAGTGTACTAGACCTTCATTATACTCATTTCTTATTATGGATTTTCACTTTAATTATGAAAGGCCAGGTTCTCAATCACTGTTTCAAGCCATGACTCAGCATTTCTGTAACAGGATGCTATAGGGACTGCTGGGCATTACAGTGTTGGTTGCTACATTCCAAGTCCACAGAAGTCCCTTGTCTTTTTTCCATCTGTTGCTGCAAAAGTTTGGCTGTATATATCTGTAACAACAGAGCTTGCTATGGACTCACTATTCTGTAACAAACAGCTAAGCAACTTTCTCTTTCCTCCTTCTCCCATCCTCCCCAGTGACACTGATCAGCAAACTCAAAATTCAAAGTGGCTTGGTGACCAGTACAATCTCTCAACTTTGAAGTCACTAAATGTGAAGCAACTGCTTAAAGCTGTCAAGATTCTTCTCCAAGGGCCATGGATGCTGGGGAGAAATTCAGGAGATGCACTGTGTTGACCTTGAGAATTGGAACATGAACATATGGACAGTCCTAATGGTTGCTGAATTATGAAAAGAGACATATGAAAGCAGACTGCTACTGTGATTGGCTGCCTAAGTCACTAAATGTTTGCATTCAGTAAAAGGTGACCCCCTCACCTAAAGCCCCAGCAACCTCTTTAGTTACTGTTTATGAGAAAGGAAGTCGATGTTTTGCTCTTATAGTGATATGACTTTACCAACCATACCATTACGTGTTTAGGCTAAAGAAATGGCTATAAACCCTGTATCTAGTATTAAATGTGTATCTAGTATTAAATTAAACCCTGGTCTAGTATTAAATGTGGAGGTTGGTGGCCCTGCATATGGCAGGGTGGTTGGAGATTCATGATCCTTGAGGTACCTTCCAACCCTGGCCATTCTGTGATTCTGTGATTCTGTATCATGTATAGTCACATACCATGTCAGTATCAAGGAACACCACCTCCACAGCTTACTAACTAAACTGGGCACATGTACAGAGCCAGAAATATTTTTGAAAAAGTTAATTGCTATGAAGATTATCTCTGTAGATCAAAGTCCAACAGAATGAGTTTGAAAGACATAACACAATTTGTAGCAAGCCATGAAAGTTCATTATCCATTAACAGTCTCCAGAAAAAAAACTAGTTTTCACAACAAAATCTCCTCATAACCACCTCCCACTCTAAAATTGATATAGAAAAGTCTTACCTTACCAAGGCTAGAATCTGCAGAGCAGGGTTGCTCACAACCATAATGGGCTGCAGGCCATGCTATCATTCATAGGTTACTTTATTTCAGTGTAGAAGGCAAAAAGATTTAATAATTTTTGTTTTTTAATAACAATCAGATACCATAACCTTTCTACACTCTTTTTATGTCACCATAATTCTGACTGATTTGTCCACCATTGGACAATGCCTAAAAAATCCTTCCTAGAAAGCAGCTGCATGAGAGACTAAAGGGAAAAGAATTACGAGTGACTGAAAACATTAAATATTGAAAAAAAAAGTTAAATCTCCTTTAATAATATAAATATTGGAATGTACATATTAATTATTTTAATAATACTTACATTAATTAATTAAAATTGAATTTTAACATTTCTACTGAAAAATGATGACATTTAAAATTATCCTCTTGCAAAAAGGAAAAAAAGATAGCAGAATGCCTAAGAAGCAGGTCTAAAATTATTTATTTCACTGAACAAGTAATTAATTTATAAATAAAATAAAGGTAGGAAATCCCTCTAACTTCTCCTTACTCCTTAGAAAAAAACTGTAAGCATGAGTAAGAGAGAAATTAGGACCTGCAATCAAAATAACTCATGCTTTGTAATCAGACACGTGGACTATACAATTAACAAAATGATTGTCAGCATCTAAAATAATTTTCTGAGTAAAAATATAAAACTGTGGTGCATTCTTTGGTTGTATGTTTGTAACAATCTGAACTTAGAAACATAATAGTAGTAGAAGAATCTAGGAAAGCATGTCTTTCATCTGTACAATCTTCAGTGTTCATCCAACCAGCAAACAGTTCAGAGAACGTATTTTTCCATTCCTTGAATGTAGATTACAATTTTAAATTGGCAAAGTACGTCACTAGTGAATGCCCCTTATTCCAGCATGTATCCAACCTATGGACAGAACATAAAGGAAGATTTTTTGTAATCCGTTCCTTCTAATTCACAGTGTGATAGCACAGTAAGCTAAACAAACAAACAAAAAACAATATGTAGAATGTTTTTTAAGAAAAGGAAGGGCAAAGTAGAGCAAAGTTCAGGAATAGTGGACATTATTAAGGGATTATTTAAAAACTTTTCATATTTTCAGTGAACATTGGTTACTTAATAATTAGCGTTTTAAAGTTGGGCAATTAGATTGACAC